GGTGTCATAACTAAGTTCACAATGACAAACCCGACAACAAAAAAGTCACAGTTTTGCCACAAGGACCAAGCAATGAATGCGATAGAACAACTTAGAATGTTACGGTGAGAACGGCTAGCAGATCGATACAGGCAGCGAGCGGGCTGTTCACGCTGTAGGGTACTGACACTTCCCTGTACAGCAGATTGTGCCGCGTGGCGCACAAGTCTCGCACAGAAGCCATGTTTCAGAGTCTCGTCTATTAAGCGATAGGTGGAGTTGTGTACGTGAGCGGTGATCACCGCTATCATCATCATCATCATCATCATGATTGTTAGAGTGGTAGCGCCGGCAGTGACCCCTGGTGGCAGGGAAGCCTTGGTGGCGGCGCACAAGAAATAAGCTGGGCTCTTGGACTGGTGGCGTTCGGCGCGAGCCGTTTGGTAGTCTCTCGTGGAGGGTCTGCCGTGGACGGCCGCGGGCCTACGTGGTGGGTCAGCTGTTAGTGACACCACCTTGTTTGTCATGTTGTTGAGCGTTGTTTAATATTGTGCAAGGATGTCTTTGCGAGTTTATCACGATTGTTGTTATAATTTGGCTAACGAGATCATCGTTCTAAATTAGTTAAATAAATGTGTTTGGTTTGGTTTGTTCCGACCGCATCTGCTGTGTCCATTCATTCCAAGAGCCCGACGCTCGCCAATTAAAGATCCCACACTGGTTGCCTAACGTGGAGCTCTTGAAGCATTGGACGGCAGTTTTCGCGGTTCGGTACAAGTTTTTGTTAGAGCCCGGGTAGAGTAGGCCTGGGGGGACTTCTTTGCTAGTGTCGGCGGTGTGCTTTGTTGAGAGCGAAGAGATCGGTATTGATGACATGTTTGAACTTGTTGGCATGTTGAGTTTTTGCTTTTTTCTGCTCGCAAGTGTTTTTTTTTTTTTCTGTTGCCTTTGCTTTTCAAGAATGTTCAGTTGGGACGAGAGCCATGTGGTCTGCACCCTGGGGTGACCAAAGCTTAGAGCATGAGGATTGTAGGCCAGGCCCGAAGCGAGTGAGTACGGAAGGCTCGTGGGTGGTTTGATTTTCCATAAACAGCTTCTTCTATCTTTTGGGCTCAGGGAGCCAGGCATCGTTGCTGTCTGGTATTGCGGGTCGACGCTGGGGCATTGTGACACCGTCCGGGACGGCAAACGCCGATGGCTCGGTAAGCTACTGTGTGCTGTAAGTGATAGGGCCATCTTACAGAGTGAATGTCTTCTTGCGGCTGCCTCTTCTGCGCCTAAGCTGGGTGCTGGGTGGATGGCGGTTGTTGCCGAGCAACTCATTAGATCTTAGGCTCTATGCAGCCGCCTGTTAGACGTGGCACAACTAGGTGGATCATGGCGTTGAGGTGTTGCACTCTGCTTCCCTTAATTTTTTTTTTCTCATCTTGTGATGAATGAGTTAGAAAAAGTGACCTCTGTTTTATTTTTGAGCTGGCAGGGCGTCTCAACCGCTGCCGATGTTTTAGCTAGCCCTACTGACCATCGTACCACGTGGGCCAGGAGCCCGAAGCTCCCTTCTCTTTGGCCTACTGCATTGTTCTTTCAAGTGTTTAAGAAATGTACACAGCGGGTGTGATGTAACCCATGGCTGGCTGCCTTCTGCACATCGTCAGCGTTGCTGGCCAGGAATGCGGTCGTCAGGTCGGGCGATGGAGATGCCTGGAACCTGTGCAACTGCCTGCAGTCTGGTTCCTTGTGAGTGGTGGTCGCAACGGGAAGACGTGTCGGCGTGAATGACGGTTCATCGCGCCAACGGCAACGTTGCTCTTGCGGGACCAGTATTGAGGTGAAGTCGTCGAGCTGGACAGTGCAGCAGTGTCGATCGACCGGTGGCGGTGTCGTCGTGTACAGAGATTATGTAGGGTCATGAGTTGTCATGTTTTGTTAGAGCTTGTGTAGCGGATTTCTTTTCGGAATATGGTTTGAATTAAGGTTGGGGGGATGTGGGGGTACTGACACTCCCCTGTAAAGTTGATTGCGCCACATGGCGAACGCGTCTCGCGCAGAAGCCATATTTCGGGGGTCACGGCTATTGAGCGATAGGTGGCATTGTGTACGCGAGCAGTGATCACCCCTATCATCATCATCATCTTTATGATTGTTAGAGTGGTAGCACCGGCAGTGACCCCTGGCGGCAGGCAAGCTTTGGTGGCGGCGCGCAACAAATAAGCTGGGCTCTTGCGCTGGTGGCGTTTGGGGCGAGGGGTTTGGTTGTCTTTAGCGGTGGGTCTGCCGTGGACGGCACCGTGGGCCGTCGGCGGTGGGCCCACGTGGTGAGTAAGCCGTTAGCGACACCGCCTTGTTTGTTATGTTGTTGAGCGTTGTTTAATATTGTGTAAGAATATCTTTGCGAGTTGATCACGATTGTTGTTATAATTCGGCTGACGAGATCGTCGTTCTAAATTAGTTAAATGAATTTGTTTGGTTTGTTCTGACCGCGTCTGCTGTGTCCGTTCACTCCAAGAGCCTGGCACTCGCCTATTCAAGAGCCCACAATGCACACGATTCATGAAAACAACACACACAGGTTGAGAGCATATCAAAAACGTTTACCACTCGGAATGTAACGTGCCGTTTAAACAAAAACGGTGCACTAAATGTAATCACAGGTACAGATATGTGCGAACAAGTGTCCCAGTTAATACTTCGTTGTGTTTGAAAAGCACGCTCTTTTTGCAACTGGTCCTCTTCAGTGAGCAAAGTGACCTTTGTGCTGCGCCCGGCAATCGCTCTAGTCAAAGCCGAAGGCACGCGATTCTTCCCACCAAAAGATAAGCGTGCACGCACAAGCTTCTAACCCCTCCCTCCCCCCTCTGCGGGGCAAAGTACTTGTGGGAGTGTAGGAGATAGGAGCGCATGGACGAGCTGGGTGCCATGCGTGGGGGGCTTTTTTTTTCTTTATTGAGTTTTTATATATATAGATTTGTATACAGATACGGTGAGTGACACCGGCGTCGGAGGCAAAACCCAGCTGAGAATGTCCATAAAATTGCTATCGCAATAAAATGCAGCGTCGGATGGCGGCGCACAAACGTTGGGGGTGCACAACGCACCATGGTCGCAGTGGGTGCGATTGCGCTTTGCATGGCCTTTGAGATGGTGAGAGTGCGGGTGTTTCTACGCCGTGCACACAGAAGTTTGAAGGCCATGCACTTTGTTTTTGTGCTGCTGTGCTTGCGTGGCGCTATTAGCAAAGAGTTTCCTTTTGCATTCGACAGATGCTGTTTTGCCGTAAAAGGCTCGACTTTCAAACATTGATTGACCCCTCACTTGGCCGCGATCAGTAGTTGCAATTCGACGCCCTCTTATGTTAACTGAAGCAAGAAAAAAGAAAATGAAAAATTACCATGCCAGCGCCGCACGAGCTCCATTGGCTCGCCGAGTAAAGAAGGTTGGTTGCCTGGGCGTGGAATAACCTTTGAACGGACCTGCGAGCGTAGCTCCGGCCGCTAGCCAGCCGCACGCACTTCGCCTGGAATGCGCGATCGTGTCCTCGTCAAGTTTGAATTGGAGTTTACTGTCGGAAAAAATGTCCCTATTGGGTTTGCTACTTTGTCCGCAAAGTTACGGCTTTCCAATGGGAACTGTCACCTCTATTGCCACTACATGGACTTGCACAAGCTCAGAGGACATCTGTCGCCATTGATTTCCTGGTCATGAACCTAAACATCGTATCACGCGCGCTCCTCTTATATCAATGCTTGAGTGCGATCTTTTCGACACCCAATCTTTATGTTGTCTTGCACAACTTCTCACGACAACATGCCGAACCGTAAGCTAGGCCTAATCACTGTTCGTTCTTTTTAGTGGTGGTCGCAAGCGATCGTATTGCGGTTTCGCACCGAACCAACATAACTTTTTTCGGTGGCTCTACTTCACGGAGAGGGGGCTTGAGTGGTGCTAGTAACAATCGAATGGTGGTTTGCAATTCAATTGCCATGTCTTGTAAATAAAACGACCGGTACCATTCAGTGCACAAATAATCTATGTGACCTGAAACGTAATCGGCAAATTTCGGTGATGGCGTTTTCTTTTTGAAGTTCCTTTTTGCATTTATATCGCTGGCAACATGGGTCTTCTTAAATTGTTACTTTTGGAAATTTGAATGCATCGCCTGCCTCGATTTTCGGACATGCTAGACTGCATGCTCAACTTGTTTTGTGCTAGTGTAGCCGATGAATCTTAGAAGGTTGTTTTAGCTGCAGCACAGATACTCGTAACTTCGGCCACGTATACATTACCAGTAGTTTGTGCTGTACCCAGAAATGAAATTTTTAGAAATTTTACCCCGCGTAATAGACACAACCCGAACTTCAAACCCCATTTTAAGGAAACAAAGAGCGCCTATTATGTGGGTAAATACAGTATATACATTATATATTCAAATTCGATTTAAAGTTATTCTACCAAATCACTATTCCCTTCGAATTTGCTTCAAACCTAAAGTTTACTATTCACACAAACCGAAAAATTTGTGATAAGAGAAGGGGGAGCACCCTTGAGCAATGATGCAATCACCTCGCACTGCATTTCACAGTCAGCTGCAACACTTGAACCACGGGCGCGACCAACATACTTTTAAACTGGCTGTACTGGAAGCTTGGCCTGGTCAAATGTCACCAACGTTGCCAGCCACAAGTCAATGTTATTGTGTGTTTAGCATGCAGAGAGCACCAAGGTCAAGCCTATTGTGAGCATGTGTCGACACGACAAAAGTACACTTTATGCGCCCAATTTCGGAGAAAAAAAAAATTCACTACTTTCGTCTACTATAACTAATAGTTCGTTATATTGTGGTCTGTTAAAAGCAAACCTCACTCTGCTAGCTTATTACACAGACCAAACTTCAGCTGAATAATATTCTATAGTATCCAAAAGTTCGTTGTACATGGGTGCGTTATAATGAGCATAGCCTGTAGTGGAGTAACATCCAAATGCGACAGTTTTCTGCTCGCACATTATGAATGCTGCCAACTCACCCAGCTCATCTGTTGGTGGCTGCCTGGGAGGCCTCCGCCGCTGGTCTGCAGCCCTTTGGCGTCGTCCACGCTCTGAAACAAAGGTTCATTTTTGAAGCCCTGCTGTGCAGCGCAACCACACTTACAAGAATACCAGGCAACACATTTACAGTGCGGCTGTTAAGCTGCCACCGAGCCAGTCTGCAGCAAACTGCAGTGTTCATTGGGATAACAAAACGTAAGATAGCAAAGAGAAACAAAGACCCTCTCCAGTGACATCTGGAGGGTCTGTCTCCCGCGGATTGCTCGTGCACACCACTCCCACTCAAGATTCGTTTGTTTGAGCTGCTGATCTAGCAACCGTGTTCAGGGGTGAAAGCGGGCTACAGTCTTTTGGAGCAGCTTTCAAAGCAGGAATAATAGGGTTTTGGAGCAGCTTTGGACCACTTTAGCAAAGTCCATTAAAACGGCAAAAGGCCTGAGCATTTCAGTCTTCTTTTCAGGGAAGACACACAAGGAAGGCAATCTCTTCAGAGCCATCGTCTCCGAGCGTGGTACTTGGCAGCACCCTGTTGCATTGTAGCTTCAGAGGTTGCTCAGTTGTCCTGCCCATTGATGACTTCTGTTGAATCAAGAGCCAAGTCACCGTCACTGATTACCTCCGGACTGAGTGCCCGAAATGAGTAAGCGCCTTCTCTATTGATGTCACGGACTTGTTTTATTCTTTACCTCATGACCTCATGTGCGATGAAGTTAGCCAGTGCATTGAGCGTTATGGCTGCACCAAATTTCAGAATGCGCGTGGAATTCTTGTTCATAGGTTTATGAAAGTACTGCGGTATTATCTACATTCGACCTTTGTACTTCACAAGGACACCTTCTACACTTAGCGGAAGTGTACATTGGCTCGTGTTTAGCTTGAGTTCTTAGTGACCTTTTACTCGTGCGTTATGACAGAATTCTCATGGCTAACCTTCATCAAACAAGCACAGTTAAAGTGTTCCACAACGTTGACGACTTTTTAGTGTTTACCGCATCGATAAATGTAACCCTCAGCGAACCACCGGTGAGATATCTGACATATTTCGGCGTGAAATGAAGCAACTAGAACGTCAAAGTTTAATTCTGATGACAAGCTACGATTTGTAGACCTAGAAATGCTTGAAAAATTGAATTGCTGCACAAACTTGAAGAAAAAAACAAGAGAGACAGGAAAGAGTGCAGTTTTATGAAAGTACTGCGGTATTATCTACATTCGACCTTTGTACTTCACAAGGACACCTTCTACACTTAGCGGAAGTGTACATTGGCTCGTGTTTAGCTTGAGTTCTTAGTGACCTTTTACTCGTGCGTTATGACAGAATTCTCATGGCTAACCTTCATCAAACAAGCACAGTTAAAGTGTTCCACAACGTTGACGACTTTTTAGTGTTTACCGCATCGATAAATGTAACCCTCAGCGAACCACCTTCTTCTGGTGGACCATGTCTGTTGGCGATACGAGCCACGCTAAAGAAAAAGCCTTCTTCTTTTTACGTCTGCTCATTCTAAGCTAGTTGAGCAAAGCATTGTTTTTCCTGCCTAACGGCAGCTCTAACTCACTTTTGTCACCACTAGATGGAATACAGTTTTTCGCAACAAGTTCACTGCTTTCAACAAGCAGGTTTTCCTAATATCCTACTAACTTCCATCGCCGAGACTCTCGTTATGTCACTAAGACTGCCTGATAAGGGACAAAGCAACAGCCAAATCAACAAGCCTCATTCTAGCATGGATGTTATTTCCTACGTACACGAGGTTTCCCCTAGGCTAAAGAAAGTCGCTGGTAAAATAGGTGTAAGAGTTGTGCTTTTCGCACTTGGCAAGCTTGCTGGGCTACGTCGCAGGGTCAACAGCGAAGGACCTAAGAAAGAAGCAAGCACTAAGAAACACGCTACATGCTATGTTGAATCTGTTTTAGCAATTGTCTACAAGATTTCGTTTACTTGTATGCTCTGTTACATTGGCCAAACAGGCCGATGCATTAATTAATGATCGATTGAGGGAGCACGCTTACTCTTTAAAAGGCTCCGTTTCCAGCCACTTGAGAACCATTGTAAGAGGCGTGGTTGTCAGTCAATTCTTGACAAGAATGTGATCAGAGGGCGATATAACAATCAGCGCGAGTGCGACATTTGTGAAGCCTTCCACATTAAACAACTTGGTGCGTTCTGTGTTAGCGTACCTTAGAATTGTTTTCACGGCTGTGAAACTAGTCATCTGGGGTCCACTGATATGACTGGCTTTTGATAAGGTAGGCCGTTTGGCACATGCATGTGTGATCCGCTGATGTCGCGTGGTTATGCACAAATTATGTTTTCCTATATGTTGCAGTTGGTTCGCAATAAACTTCGCTTGTTAGTTCAGCGCTCTGTTCTCGTCTCTTCTATACCCTCTTGTCGTGTGTGCTGTTAAGCACTTCCCTCGTATACCAGTAAAAAGGAAGTATTAGAGCTGCTCTGAAGCAGCAAAAGGTGTGTTTGGGAGCATCAAAATTTAGTTTTAGAGTAGATTTCTCGGGTCACACATCACTGTTAATTAGAACTTTTGCATATTGGTAAAAATTTGCATTTTTCATTTTGGTAAAAGTTTAGTGGTTGCAATGCAAATCAAGCGACCAGACTTGATTCGAAATTCATATATCTTAAACCTTAGAACATCAAAAGTGAAAGCGCAACAGAGAGAGAGAGAGAAGTTAACATTTATTTTCGAAACAGTGCCCCGAGCAATGCCCGATGTCACCCTGAGGTGGGAAGGCTCCTTAGTCCAGGCACCCTCTGGCTTCTACTGCCCTCTTATACCTGGCGACGAGTTGTTAGTCTTCCAGGTCCTCAAGGGCAAGCTTACCCTCCCACGTTTCGGTTAGGTCTTCATTCATCCGGCCTGCTTCATTATCAGTCGTGTGCTGTTGTAGATTACGTCTGGCAATACACTGACATGCAAGAAGGAAGTGTGCCAGGGTGTCCGGTACGCTGCAGAGCGGGCACATAGAGCTATATCTCGTTGGGTAGAGACGGTGTATTAGGGCGCCAAGTGTGTATGTGCTGCTTTGCAGGCGTCTCAGTATCACGCTTTCCTCTTTTGTCGATTTTGGGTGTGGTGGAGGGTATACTCGTCGCTCTAGCTTGTAATGCTGGAGTAATGACGAATAGGTGTGTTGAACAACTTCCGTCTCTTCAACGACGGGTTGAATGTCCTGTGAGTAAGGGGCAGCCCAACTGACGTACTCGTGGGCACCAACGTTGGCCGCTACCGGCGTGGGCCGCTTCATTTCCCTGCAGACCCCCGTGTCCTGGCACCTATAATATACAAGTGTATGGGAGAAAAGTGCTTCGCCGTTTCAAAATATTGATGTCAATGGCTGAGACATGGCCCTTAGTGAAATTCCTGTAACAACTCAAAGAAAAAACATAGGTGGCATTTTGGACAGCTACTACTGTATTTACTCGCTTAATCCTCGCACTCGCATAATTCTCGCGGCCCCACATCGTCCAACAAAAATACGAAATAATAGTACGCATCAAGCGTACTATTAGTGCACGAAGATTCAATCCAATTCAAGCCAAGTCAAAGCGGCAAGTGCGCCTCGCGGCGTGTTTTGCATGTTGTGTCGGTAATCTTGTCCCGTTACGGGGCGATACTGAAGATACACGGCTGCTTTCAAGTTGAAAGTGATTGATCAAGCACTAAACAATGGCAACAGGGCCGCCAGTAGGCCCTTCGGAGTCCATGAGTTTTCTGTTCGCTACTGGTGACTGCAGATGAAAGCCACCGAGACTCGTTGGGCCTGCCGTGAGCCTAAGACTGAGATTGATGGTAAACTTTCTTTCTTCAGAAGGAAACTGCAGACAATTTTTTTAAATAGCCATAAGCCCAATACTGACATCCTATGCTTACCTTTTGAGGGCTCCTGTTAAGGGACGAACGCTACCGCTAGGCCCGCAACGCCCACAAGCTTTGCGTATGGTATTCTAATTCTCGACTGTTTGCTTGCACTTTTTGTGTCCCAAATAAATCTTGCCTTGTGTTGAACCACTGCTTTTATTGTCGAAGTGAATTTTAAGTAGTACTTCTTAAAGCTTGCTGTTAGTTGATGGTGTGAGAATCCCGATTTGCGGCCAGTACGTCTTCATTATCGCTCTGTACGTTATCATGGAAAGCTTTCTGCGCGTAATTTTAGCACCCACTGACTTTGCATTGGTTTTCCGCCGGAAAAAAAAAAGGAAGGTTTATACGAGTAAATACGATAGACCTCAAACGAACAAAAAAATTTATTGTTAAAATATTGCAATGTGTAAAATGTGATTACTAGAGACTGGAAGTTTAGGCCCGAAAAATCAATTTTAGGGGCCTATAATAGGCCCTAAATACTGCCATTTAGGCATAAATAGGCACCTTAAGGGGATACACAGGTCTTAGAAGGCTAAAAATCACAAAAAAAAAAACGACTTTTTGAAGCTGACATTTCCGGAATCTGTACCTATTTTTCCACATATCTGAGAAGTTTCTAGCTTCTCACGTCATTATTTGTGGCAAAAAATCAATTTATAACATCCTTGTACGATTAATGTGAGTGCAAATTGACACTAAAATCGCGCTTTTTCCGCGCCGAACTGTTGTCGTTACACACGAGCTATCGAGTTCATCTTGGTCTCGTTTGGAAGGGTCGTTCTTTATCTCCAATTTCCCACCATTGCTGGCTCGCCTTGCTCCTTAATTTTTCAACAAAAACGCGTCATCGAAAAGCACTAGCGCGCGATTCTATTGGCTGCTTGGGGCATGTGACAAAAGCTAGGCATCCGATTGGCCAAGTGGCGTTTCCGGCGTCTGCTTCACCATCGTGACGCGCACGGACATGCACCATTTTGTCATAGTGCTACTGACTGCCTGCGGCAGCATAAAAATTCCGTGCTACAGTAATTTGTGAAGAGGGTGTGGCAATCGTTCGTTTGCTGTGAATTTCAAAATGAGCCCCGCTATGGCTCAGGACAACGAGGATAACGAACTCGCCGCGGTCAACGGCGGTCGTGGAGTCACCGGTGTAGGCCCAACTC